CAAAACGACAACAACTTACTTGTAGAGATATGGTATAGCTGGTGATGAGAATTTGAGCCTCAATCGCCGTTGCTTGCAGCCGGTGGCTTGTAAAACTTTCTAAAAAAACTGTTGAAAAATAAACAAGCACGAGTAGTGAAAATCTAGCAGAAGATTGACGAAAATGAATATGAAAGAGAAACTTTTTGTAGAGAAAGAGTGAATGTGAAGATGATAAAGAAGATTAAAGTTTATGATTAAAAGAAGTACTGACTTTCACAAATTCACTAGTAGAAGAGTCTGGCAACATTTAAAAAAAGTTGTTGTTAGAAATTCTCCTATTGACCTATGGCTTCCATCTTAAAGAGATCTTCGACTTTGCCTACATAATTAATGGAAATGTTAGTTACTTTTTGTTTATTTATTTATTTATTCAATATACTCTAAATGTGTAAAAAAATCAAAAGGTCAGATAGATAAAAATAGATTGTTCTTGCACTCCAAAACTAAAAAATGGGAAAAAAATCTGAAATAATAGATAGAACAACGCAAAAGAACAGTTATAGGAGTAGGGACTAAGCGGTGAAGAATACCATATTCGATGCGGTTTGATGGGTCGTCCCATGAAATTTGATGATATTGAAATTCTGCGCAAGGCTAATTTATAGCTGCAATAACGTTATAGCATGTACTGAGTACAGCAGTTCAATTTAAATTTCACGTTGTAATTAGTAACATGAACTTCCAGCGGGTTAAACTCTTTCTGAGAGGATTTCCAAGCTCTAAAATAATAAAGAAATTTCCTGTATGGATGGAAAGGAGATGAAGGTAAATGAAGAATATAAATAGTTTTCGGCGTCTATAAAAATTACTCTTACTATAGAGATTAAACGGATGTGAAAAACAAATAATTTAAAATGCAGCACTAGAGACAGGGCTACTGCTACACCGTTCCTTTCTTGAAACAAGCGATGCGCTCCTCTAACAGAATAGGGAATAAATTAAAAAGGAAGATATTTTATAAATGAAAAACAAACTTGAAGAACCTTCCCACCTTTCTATATTGATATAAACTACATACACTTAGCCCCTCAGTGAGTTACTGGAATACTCGTTTCGCGACTGGCAGGCCGCCTTATATAGGCTAGAAAGTGTCTTTGTTCACAGTGAAATCAATAATTCACGCTTGATTTTTTT